TATCCAAGTATGAACAATCACTGAATTTTTACTTGAGAAGACAATCATTATAGATGTGTAAGAAATGATTTGAAGAAAATGAAGGGACAGGGAGGCTTGTTGCTCACATTGTCCGAAGGTGACTCAGGTTACCAATGCTAGGGGAAAGCGTTCCAGATAAGCCCATATTTGGCATCTCACTTGCAATAACAACAATAATTAAAAGCATATTTCAGCTTTACCTTCGAGTAAGAAAAACAAATGTTGTACAACCCTCTTTTGGGTCGTTTTTACCCAGGAAACTAAACATGGAGAAAATCTCATTAGGTCCAAATTGTCAAATATGAACCATTTTTGCATAGATAACCAAGAGGACAACAAAATAGAGAAGCTTACAGAGAAACCACGAAGCCCTCGGTAGAGCAAGCAACCATAAACCAGGTGCATGGATCAACCGAATTTATGTCCCATCCTTCCATCACTCTCCGTTCGTCCCTTATCCTACTCTTCATTGACATCAAAGCCGCCACTGAACAGAGCAAAACATAAGAAACAAAGACACCAACATTCAACCAATTTTCGAATAACATGAAATAATGGGTATTCATGAAATGGTCAGACCTTCATAGTTTACTCCTTTCGGAGACAAATGACTGTCTGAAGCAGAAACCAGCCAGATGAAGGCGAACAGCAACAGAACCATCTTTAGCTTTGCAACTTCCATTGCCAAGATTGTCAACACAAAATAAGAGGGCTGCCAAAGTTTAAGATGTAAGAATCCACTACTTCCCACAGGATAAATATGTTTAATTGAGCTTTTTTGGTCTTAAAGTAAACAATCCATATCTCATGGAAAATAATGACAACCTCGAAAAATCTTCATTCTTAGAATTCCTACACGCTAGTGCGTTGAAAAACAAGCGATTTCTGGTAGAAAAAGCTAAAAGAAGAAACAAAGCAGTGGCCAATTTAGAAGAATTAAAGAAAATCAACCGAAAGACCAGGAAACCTCGAGATGCGGGTAATTGAATGGCTGAGATTATCCCTTCCCCTGCAAAAACATTGAACAACAAAGCCTGACAGTGACTGAGGAAAGCCTTTGTGTAGTCAATGTTGAGGATTATTGGGATTGGGAGTGTCCCACATTGGTTAATTTAGTGGAAGATCATGGGTTTATAAGTGAGGAATACTATCTCCATTGGTCTGAGGCCTTTTGGGGAAGCCCAAAGCAAAGCCATGAGAGCTTATGCTCAAAGTGGACAATATCCAATATCATACCATTGTGGAGAGTCGTGATTCCTAACAGTCAAGACCATAATGTCTCCATCTTTGCTGTGACCTGCAGTAGAGAGTGGCAATCATGAGCCGTCAGATTTTTTACATTTACGGACAGAAAAAATCAACAGCCTTGATTATATTTAGTTTAGATATGTAATCATGATTACTGGTAGTGGGGGAGTTGATGAAATAATAGATTTTTAGAGCTCCATGTCTCACTGCAACCCAGTGGCGCCAACATTAATGATTCCGGCTTTTGAAATGTGGCGCAATTCACGGAGATAATGGCCAATTTATTTTCTATTTTTCTACTCTGAAATTTGAACTCCATCGATTTTCCACGTCCAAGTAGCCCTATCAGTAGCACTTCCCGACGTTACCATGTTCACTTCACTGAACCATGAAATTATTAATTCCCTTTTCGTTTATTAATTTGACTTCTTTTATGAGTAAGCTAATGATTTAACTACATATAATCCAGAAAATTTCCATTGACAAATGTTATGAACAGAGCCTTCCCCTCAATGGTTTAAGACAGAATCAGCAAGAAATGGGATCTAAAGAACAAATAGATTCATATTCAATTTGAGAGAAGGGGAGAGATTCTTGGAACACAAAATAACTACAAGTTTTTGCAATTCAAAGTCAGCCATCTTGAGACCACCCTGGAACTGGAAACAGAACCCAATAACTAACTAGATTCCAACCATTCAGCCATATATATAAAATTAGATACCCTCTTCCTAACTAAAGATGCACAATTTGCCACCTACAACTATCCCTCTTCTAGCTAGCTGCTGTCTGCTAAGTCAAACTCTGGCCTCCTTCGATTTACTACCAAACATATACAACTTGCAGTAATATTAGAACTGAGATTGAGGGATGGATGGAAATTGGGAGGTCAGAACAGCGAGAACAACATGTCAAGGAAGAGTTGGTAAAGTCCCCCGACCTGCAAGTCTCAGAGTAGAGCAACATAAACGGCCCCAGTTTAATGCAGGCAGAGTTGAACTTGAAGTTGGTCGGTAGTCTTTGCACCACGCATGAACAAGAAGAATCCAACTGCTCTATACGCCTATATTTACGACACTGCTAGATTCAAATTAAGACCCATTTGTCGTTTCACTTGATCAGGTATCAACCTGTTAACGAGCTCTGGAGAGGCCCCCAACAGCTGCAACAGAAATTATAATTATCATTAACCCTAATGAAAATAAGATAACATCAATTAGTTTCAATCATTATCAATGCAGACGCATTGCGGGCCGCAATTCAATTCAATGTGAACTTTCACCTACTCCCTAAAAGGCATAAAGACCATTTACAATGTTTCTTCTATGTCATAATCAGAACTATTGGCCATCTATGCTCTAAAGAAAAATGTTATAAAATGTCTAAACTGCAGTGATATTCAATTCAACAACATAGAATTAGCATGTCATAAAATGATGGTGATTTGGTAAACAGACCTCTTGTTTGAAATTAAAGAGGGGTGGGAATGGTCGACCATTTGGGAGGCGAGCATTGGGCTCTCGAAGTTCATCAAAGAAAGGATGTGTGCAAGCTTCCAGCTGCATGGAAAGAAGAGATACTCTCAAGAGGAGCAAAATATGCCACAGTTGCAGAGAAAAGCCAATGCCCACTCAATATGACAATGGTGTAGTTAATGAACTGGAATGAAACATGAACTTGTATTTATCTTCAGTAAAAAAATAAACAGTTGAAGTTCCAGATGGAAGTGTGACATGAAAAGAAATGCACAGATGATGTCGCATTCCTATATAGACAGCTACTGAAGCGTATTCAACTTACTGCAGTACAGCGGAGACTAGGTGAATACTGAAGCAATCGTGAAGCCAGATCTATTGCCTCAGGAGGCATTCGTTTGTGGAAAACCTGATCAATGGCACATAATGCATATAAGAGAAAAGGTTCAACTTCTTGGAGAAAAGGCTCAAAACTAACAAGACCATAAGAGATAAGAGGGCTCTAGGATCAACTTGAATTTGTTACAGACCTTGTGCCAAGGGTGAGCTTTTATCTGTGGAAACCTATAGTCTGTGTAACTTGGATTCATACATCGAATTTCTTCACGAGTTGGCGTGCCAAGAACCTAAAGGATAACCATCGGAAGGTAGGTAGGTAGGTAGGTAGGTAAGACAAAATGTGGAAATAGTAGTGAACTACTAATATTGATAGAAGTACCTTAATAATCTCTACAAGCTGGTCCACAGCATTTTCTCCGGGAAACAAAGGCTACAGAAACAGAAAAATATTATTCAACAGGTTACACTTGTGGCAATATTTGTCACAAAGAATCATTGAAAATCTTACCTGTCCCAGAAGTAGCTCTGCAAGGACACAACCAGCAGACCAAATATCTATTGAGGTTGTATACTCTGTAGCTCCAAATATGAGTTCTGGGGCCCGATAGAAGCGTGAACATATGTATGAAACATTGGCTTCACCTTTCATCTGGAACACACATATAAAAGTACATAGAATAAGCCTTAATACAGAAAATGGGCAAAGAAAGTATAACATCCAACCACTTAAAACCTAAGCAACTACTAACTTCCTTTTACTCGTCCAAGTGGTCGTACGCTGCTAACAACACTTGACAGGAAAGTATAATAAAAAGATCAAACTAAAATGACATTTTGTGGATCCTTGTGTCCCCACACACCCTAGAGTGAATTTCAATTGGTCAGTGGTATGTTCATTTGGAGCTCTCGCTTATGAGCATGTTAAATCATTCCAACATTTACAAGTGCAACGTGCAATGTAACAAGGCAACCTTGAATCTTAAATGACAACAGTAAATCTTAATTTCTTCTAAAGGAAAATTGGCACTTTGGAAAAACAAACTAAAAAACAAGCTTCAGTGTTACACTCAGGAAATGTCAAAAACAAAATTTGTGAAAGAAACAATATATTGAAAATTCAATGCTATAGATATCTGTTCATGTTGTCAAGATATTGAAAATTATAACCACGTACAAGCATTTTTGCACTTCCAAAATCGCATATTTTAACTTGGTGAGTAAGGGGATCCACCTGCAGAAAGAAAGCAGGACATTAGGCAATCATGAAACACAAGTACAGGCCTTTACAACTGTTTTTTTCAAATAAAATTCATCTCAATTTCCGTAGCCACTTTCAAATCATCAAGGAACAGTACCAAAATATTTTGAGGCTTCAAATCTCGGTGGCAAACTCCATGAACCGTGTGGATATAGGCCAGGCCCCTAAAAACCTGGAAAAAAAAAAAAACAGACTAGACATGAGGGAAAAAACCGTGTAGTGATAAAAAAAAAATGAAATTATTAAGGAGCATTATTCAAACCTGGTACATGTATAATTTGACATAGATAATTGGCATTCTTTGATTTGCATTACTGTAATGCTTCAAAACCCGAAACATGGTTTCAGGAACATATTCCATAACCAAGTTGAGAAAAAGTTCGTCTTTTGTAGTAGTGGAAAAGAAACAATGCTTTAAGGAAATGACATTTGAATGATCCATCACACGCATTAACTGTAGCTCACGGTTCTTATATCTTCTGTCCTGCAAAACCTTCTTTATAGCCACGTTTTCACCAGTTTCCAAGCATTTGGCCTGAGAAAGAGAAGGTTTATGCATTTGCATCATATCTTATTTGATCAATACAACGTCAAAAGAATCAAAGTTCAAGAGGGATAACATGTAGAATACCTTGAAAACAATACCAAATGATCCAGTCCCAACAACACGTTCTGCCATGTAACTTATAGTCTACAGAACCAAGAAAAAGTGAAGTATCACAATTAAGTTCGTGCAGAACAATATAAAATTTTGGCCAACCACATGAAAACCGAAAGATTCTATATTTTAAGCATAAACATGAGAGAAATAGAAGGTAAGGGGAGAAGGATTGATGTGAATTTGAACCTGTTTGGGCTCCCCATTCTTGCCTCCTATAGTTGTGGATATTATGTGACCAGTAACTGGATCATTTCCATCAACGACAGGGGCTGACATTGCCTGCAAAGTATATACAACATTAGAGACTGGAAAGAATCAATTGGAAAAATAGAAGAGAATAATTCGTTGTTCGGAGTGGAGGGATCGCGTAAAAAGACAAATCTTGGAAACCATGATTAAGACAGTTCTAAACAACTATCAGTAAGAAGCCCTAACATCCACCGCAAAATAATTTTATTTAAAACAAATGAAAAGGAAAGAAGAAAGAAAGAAACGACCGACAAACATGGATCCCTTATAAGTGCCAAAAAAAAGGGAGGGGGTATGAAAAGCAACGGAAGATTGGCTTGAGCTATGCAATGCAAGTAGCTAACATGAATCAAAATCAAACAAGCGGGTGGCAAGCGCTAGCGTGGATACATAAGCTCAGTTGAACTCTAATATGTAAGTATACTAATTAAATTATAAAATCTAGAGTACTGGAGAGAGAGATCGAGAGCTCAAAAGTATACAAAAGCAGAGACTCTGAGAAGCAGTACAGAAATTAAAACTAAAACAGCCAAGAAAATATGCAGAAACAAAATCATGTAAATCTCAGATCAAGTTTAAGAAGAATAAGGGAGGTGTTTTCCGATCCTTTTCTCATAATGCCGGACGAGATCACCGTCCTGGTTGCCAACAAAACGCAAGAAGAGAACCCCCAACACACACCGTCCTGGTTGCTCCTATGTACATTCCCCCTCTAATCTCGCTCTCTCATCCTCCCCATTTCGCATTTCCCCTCTTCGAAGAAGCCCAACATTCAAATCCAGGAAGAAGAAGAAAATCAAAGGACAAAAG